AATACGACATGGTGGCTCCAAATAAGTTGCATCCGGCTGCAACTCAATCTCCACAAAGTATGTCAAAACAGTCCACTAACCCATCAAAACTTGTGGAGGAGTATCGTCCACCACTTCCTTTTCGTATCCTGAAAAATAATAGGGTGAACATAAGCTCAGTAGGAAGTGTTTAAGGCACACCTCTTACAATCCCGTGAATCCACATATGGAATAGAATACAAGAGAATGAGATCATATCTCGGGAAGCAAATAAAATAAGTATAACATCAACAATTTTGTGCACAAGTCATCTGACAACTAAATACGCACAATGTACCAATAGAATGCCATGCCATGCAATATCGCTCCCCATTTTCGAAACAATACCGTTTCAACTTCCAAACCATTAGTGTAATCCGACCCAAGGCACCTCTAAGGAGTCACGAATGGAGGGTTAACTAACTATCCACGACCACAAGGCACCTCCAAGGTGTCACATCTGGCTAGTTAGCTCAACTATACTCCCTTCTAGATTACACTAACAACACGGACCACTAGGTGCCTCCTAGGCGTCCGGTTTTCACAAACACCTTTAAAAATATTTTTCCCAAAAATAATTTCATTTATTTTAAAAACAAACTTTCCCCTTTACTTTCCCAATAGCAATGCATGAATTATGCAATTCCTTTAATGTTATGACAATATAGAAATTTCATACATATCATCCACATCATTTAAGCTTATTTAAAACATGAATTTTCACACACTATCATATTTTCATATTTTTAAATCATGGTATTTTACATACTTTCAATTCGTAAATCCAACAACTCAAGTATATAGGGCATAAAATAAAATCCTTTAAGCATGTATCATCTCAACAAGGCAACTATCACAAAATCACACATTTTCTACACCATAAAAAAAAAATCATGTATAAAATATATAAATTACATCTCAAGTACTTAACACAATATAAACATGCTTATACATCAATTAAATGAGATTAATTCACAAAGCTCAAAGAAATGGGTATTAGAACACCCCTACCTCAAGTATTGAAGAAATCCTCAATTTCAGCCTAATTTTCGGAATCCGTAGTACTCCAAATTGAAAATTGCTCCGATCAATATAAAGCCCACGACAAGCTCTTCAACTTTGCTTTAAGTGGCAAAGTCTAATTCCCACTAGTTAAGCCTAGATCAAGGCTTGAAGTTTGTGAGAAAAAAAAAAAAGTTACGAAGGAGAGAGATACAGACGTGAGGAGAGAGAGAGAGAGAATGTGTGATGACCCGATTTTTTTAAAAATTTAATTTAATTAATTTATGATTTTTAGATTGTTTAAATTAATTAATTATTTATTAAATTTAGTGGGTTTTGAAATTTAAATTAGTTTTTTTATATAATATATATATATATATTTATAATATATATATATATTTATAATATATATATATATATTTATATATGTATTATATTTGGATGAAGATATGTTGTTTGACGGAGGTGGTGATGTGGCGTCCACTAAAAGTGATTTAATGGGTTTTGTTCTTGGATTGTGATATGTTATTTATATATGTCTAATGGAGGGAATAAGGAGCTAATTGGGTTGGATGAAATTGGTGGGAAAAAGGAAAGAGAGAAATGACTTTTTGCGGGACCCACTTAAAGATTTGCTTGGCTTTGGCCTCGGACCTTGATTTTTTTTCACGTGGCTGTAGGTTTTATGGTGTAGATTGTTTGGAAGGAAAGTTGAAGTGATTTTTGGTGGGGCACACAAGAATTTATTTTGTTAAAATTTCTTTGAACTTGGTTCATCCACGTGGGTTGAAGTTGGTGATGATGTTAGGTGATAATGATGAAGATAGAAATGAGTGTTTTTGGCGGACCAACTTTTTGACTTGGTTTTTTTTATTCACTGTGTGGCTTTATTTTGTGGTGAGTTTTGTGTGAGGAGTCGGTGCATTGGCCTATTTAATGTGTGTTGTGAATGAGTTGAGGTAGAGAAGATAGAAAAACAAAGAGAGTGTACACAGAGTGAGTGAGCCAAGAAAAATTAGAGTGAGCAAAGAGAGAGACAGTGAGAGCTGAGAAATTGAGCAGACATTTAGTGAGTCGAGTGTTACAGAGGGCGCAGCGGAAGCTTGAAGGTTGATCTTTTTACAGAGTAGGGTTCTCTATACTTTGAATGGCATGGGGAGGTTTTGATTAAATGTATATTTATTTTGTTTATACTTACTTGTATATGTTTATTTTGTGAACTTGTTTTATTAAACCTCCATGAGATTCTTGTTATGGTTTTTCCTACTGGGACTTTTGTCTCACCACCTTCTAGTTTCAGGTACCAAAGATGAATGGGGATCGCTAGAGATGGGCTTAGGATGAAAAGTCGGCGTTGCGAGTTACATTTTTTTTTATTTGGAGAATTTTCTTTTTTTTTTTTTTGTATATTTGAGGAAATTAACTTTGTATAAAAGAGGGGGTAATTTTTATGATCCTGGGTGTATTTTGATGTATTTGATTTTGAATAAATCGAGAATTTTATTAGAATTTTCGTGTAACGACCCTAGCTGATGCCAAAATTTAAAAAAAATTCGGCATAACCTCCCCTAAAAATGGGCCTTCAACAACCTGTCCCAATACACAAAACACATAATATCATCTAACATCCCATTGATCCGTTCATTATACCTCAACATAGTTCCTCTCATGGTGGAACATCCACACACCAATTAATCTAAATTATCATAATTACAGTCCCAAAATACATGGTTAAGATTTAAAGTCTCTGTCTTAGAACGTTACATGATACAATTGTATGGAAACATATACCATAATTCCATTAGTTTCATTTACATCAAATAAAAGATAAGTTCGTTATTAAGTTATACAACCATGAATACTAACTTAGTTACATCCCCACAACTATGAATATACATAAAACGGTCAAAATACAAAATAGCAAACAACCTTCTAACAACTTTCAAGCTTGAGGTGGATTGTCGTCCACCGATTCATTTCCAAGACCTGAAAAAAATAATATAAATAGTAGGGTGAGCATAAAGCTCAGTAGGTGACACTTAAGACACAATTCTTGTGTCTTTGTGAATCCAAACAAAGCATAGGCCAATAGGAAATAGGGATCATGCAATATAGGGAATTAAAACAATATACACGTCAATTCCAATTATAAACTATGCAGCACAATGAAATGCAATGCATGCTAATGCCACTCCCCTTTTTCATTCACCAAACCATTACTTTCAAATGTTAATACAGTCCGCCCTTTGGTAACCCCACCGCGACACGAGAGGAGGATTGACTATCGTCCCTAGACCTTTGGTAACCCCGCAGCGCCATCGAGGGGCCTAAACAGCTCAACCACGCTAGGGCGACTCCCTAGTCCCCTCTAGGCTATATTAACCTCTGGCCCGTTGGTAACCCCGCAGCGACCGGGTTTATCAAACTATTTGACAAAACTCTTCTCCCAAAATTTCCCCCATTTTCATTTCAAGACAAATTATCCCATTTCATGCATTCCAATGACATGTGCATGGATGTACATATAATCTCAATATTATGGCAATGGGAAATTTGGCATAATCTAAATAAACATGTTCTCATTAGTCATTTTTAGCATGTTAACACATAGTGGGCATGATAAAACATCTAAACATATTTTACACATGAAACAAGTCATAATCAAGCTCTTAAAAATTCTTTAGACATCATTCATACAATCATGGATACAATTAACTCCCAATTAAACATGTTTGACACAACAAGGAGGTGTAATTCACAATAGAACAAGAAAGTAGTGGATTAAGATGCCCCTACCGCAAAATAAGCAAAATCCCTAGAAATGGGTTCTTAAATTCGAGCTCCCAAAGAGGACCAAAAGTTGAAATTTCTGGTACTAGCACGTAGAGCTCGTTGTGCTCGTCGTTTTGCCTCAAACGCCACCTTAATCCGATAAGAGATGATGGAGAAATCAAGAGATGAAGATTAAACCAAAAAAAAAAAAAAAACAAAAGAAAGCCGAGAGAGAGAGATACAGACAGAGACGGGAGAAGAGAGAATCAGACTACAAAGCTTTCAAAAATGTGGTCTTATGACCACTTAAACATTAGTGGGTCCCATTTTTTTTTTTTTTCTCTTTTTCTTTTTCTTTTTAATTTACAGACATAACATTCTCCCCAACTTTAAGAGATTTCGTCCCCGAAATCAAGACATACCTAGAGAAGAAAACAACTCTGGATACTTGGAGCGAACCTCCTGTTCGAGCTCCCAAGTAGCCTCCTCGACTCCGTGGTGTCTCCAAAGGACTTTCACCATTGGTATCGTCTTGTTCCTCAACACCTTTTGTTGTGTGTCAAGAATCTGAACTGGTCTTTCCTCGTAGGAAACATCCTCATCAATGTCTACATCAACCCAACTCAAAATGTGAGATGGATCTGGCTCGTACTTCTGTAACATCGATACATGAAAAATATTATGGACCCTATCCAACTATGGTGGCAAAGCAAGTCTATAGGCAACCTCTCCTACACGGTCCAAAATCTCAAACGGTCCGATGAATCGTGGCGATAACTTGCCACTTTTCCAGAATCTCATCAATCCTTTCCGTGGAAAAACCCGTAGAAAAACATGGTCTCCCACCTCAAAGGATAACGACCGTCTTTGCTTATCCACATAACTCTTCTGTCGGCTCTGAGCTGTATGTAACCTCTGTCTTATCAACTTAATCTTCTCAGTAGTCTCGAGTACAATGTCAGGTCCTAAGGGGGCTATCTCACCTACCTCAATCCAACAAACAGGAGACCTACAAGGTCTACCATACAACGCCTCAAATGGAGCCATCTGAATGCTCGCCTGATAACTGTTGTTGTAGGCAAATTCAATAAGTCGAAGGTAATCCTCTCAACTACCACCCAAGTCAAGCACACATGCCCGAAGCATATCCTCCAAAATCTGGATAGTACGCTCCGACTGACCGTCAGTCTATGGATGTAACGTCGTACTCAGATGCAACGCTGAGCCAAATGCTGCTTAAAGTCCTTCCCAGAAATTCGAAGTGAACTTGGCATCCCTATCTGAAACAATGGTTATTGGAACTCCATGCAACCTTATAATCTCCTTCACATAAAGAACACCAAGCTTCTCTGCATTATCTGTTGCCTTAATAGGCAAAAAGTGAGTCGTCTTGGTCAATCTGTCAATGATGACCCATACGGACTCATTGCCCATTCGTGACCTTGGAAGACCTATCACAAAATCCATAGCAATATGCTCCCATTTCCATTGTGCTACAGGTAATGGTTGCAATAAACCGGCTGGTTTTTGATGCTCGGCCTTCACCTGCTGACAGGTGAGGCATCTAGCCACAAACTGTGCAACATCTTTCTTTATCCCGTTCCACCAATACTGATGTCTCAAATTGTGATACATCTTGGTACCACCTGGATGAACTGTAAAGCGGGAAGTGTGAAACTCCCGTAAGACGTCCTTACGACAAACCGTAGGAACCACCAACAAACCCTTGAACCGTAGACCCCCATCTGTATACAAGGCCCAATCTTTCACTGTCTCACCACTAGAGATCAAAGTGTGAATGACATCTAAATCCAGGTCCTGTCTCTGTGACTCAATCACTCGTACAACAAGAGTAGGCTGAGCCACAAGACTAAACAAAAAGGCCGGCTCACTGTCAACATCGTCATCAAAACAATACAATCCCGTCTCTGCCAAATCCTTAAGCATCTTCCACTTCCGAATAGCCAAACAAGCCAAAGTTCCACGAGATTTTCGGCTTAAGGCATTTGCTACCACATTTGCCTTGCCCGGATGATACTGCAAGTCAAAATTATAATCTTCCAAGAATTCAACCCATCTTCTCTGTCAATTGTTCAAGTCCTTTTGAGAGAAAAGGTACTTGAGACTTTTATGATCTGAGTACTCATCAAATCTCTCACCATACAAATAATGTCTCCAACACTTTAAGGCAAATACAATTGCCGCTAACTCCAAATCATGAGTAGGGTAGTTGTACTCGTGAGTCTTCAACTGTCGAGACCCATAAGCCACTACTCTACCATCCTGCATCAACACACACCCTAAACCATCACGTGAAGCATCACAATAGGTCACATAACCCAAGCCATGCTCAGGTATCACCAACACTAGAGCCGTAGTCAACCTTGTCTTCAATTCCTGGAAAGATGACTTACAGGCTTCATTCCATGTAAACTTAATCCCTTTCCAGGTTAAACGGGTCATAGACGCTGCCAAACGGGAGAAATCTTTCACAAATCTCCGGTAGTAACCCGCTAGACCAAGAAAACTACGGATCTCAAGCACATTCTTGGGTTGCTCCCAATTCAAAACAGCTTCAATCTTTGATGGATTAACTGACACTCCGCCTTCTGAAACAACATGTCCCAAAAACTTCACCTCTTGTAGCCAAAACTCACATTTCTCATATTTGACATACAACCGGTGCTCCTGCAAAATCTGTAAAACAATGCTTAAATGGATCTCGTGCTCCTCCTGAGATCATGAATACATAAGAATGTCATCCATGAAAACTACCACAAACTGGGCCAAGTAATCGTGAAAGACGCGGTTCATTAAGTCCATGAATGTCGTTGGAGCATTAGTGAAGCCAAAAGGCATAACAAGGAACTCATAGTGTCCATACCGTGTACGGAATGCTGCCTTCGGGATATCCTCATCCCTAACCCGCAACTGATAATAGCTAGACCTCAAGTCAATCTTGGAGAAACAACTGGCTCCCCTCAACTAATCAAATAAATCATCTATCCTTGGCAAAGGATACTTGTTCTTGATAGTGGCACGATTCAACTTCCAATAATCGATGCACAACCTCAAAGAACCATCTTTCTTCTTAGCAAACAAGACCGGTGCGCCCCATGATGACACACTCGGTCAGATGAAACCTTTCATCCTCAAATCATCAAGCTGTCTTTTTAATTCCTCCAATTCAACTGGTGACATACGATATGGTGCCATAGAAATCGGCACTGTACCGGGCATCAAGTCAATAGTAAACTCCACTTCTCGGTGTGGAGGCAACTTTGTCAAATCCTCCGGAAACATATCCAGAAAATCACGAACAACTGCAGGATAATATTCTTCCACAATATCATCCTCTTCGGCTATAAGGTTAGCCAAAAACTAATCACCACGACTCCGTCCACAAATTCCATAAAACGATGAAATGTGGGAATCACTCCGATCTCCCACAAAAAAGAAACAGTTTCCCTCGAGAGTACAAACTGTAACCCTTCCTCTGTAACAGTCGATCGTGGCATTAAAGGAAGCTAACCAATCCATCCCTAGAATGACATCAAAGCTAGTCATCTCCAGGAGGATAAGGTCAAACATAAAAGTCCGCCCAACTATCACAATGGAACAGTCCCTCACGACTCAGCTCAAAGACACTGAAACTCCAACTGGCGTATCAATACACAACGCCCGATCCATAAAACTGACCTCTAACCCCGATGTAAGTGCAAATGATGATGAAATGAAAGAATGAGATGCACCAGAATCAAACAAAACACAGGCCCAAGAACCAAACACTGGAAATATACCTCGGAGAACTGAAGATCCAGGAGATGCATCAGTCGGTGCAAGGACAAAGACATGCCCCTGCGGTGCCTGTGCCTGTGAACTACTAATCTGAACACCAGACTGTTGTGCCAACACAGTAGGAGTATCCCTCCTAGCTGGTCGTGAACCTTGAGAAGATAAGACAGTCTGAAACCTGATTGAACCGTAGCCGACTGTGACGGCCTCTGCCGTGACCCTCTGCCACTAGTGGTGCCTGCTCCTTGACTCGGACAGTCCCGAATCAAATGGCCCTGCTGGCCATACCCATAACAAGCTTTCGGAGCTGAAGAAACTGAAGTCAATCTCATGGGACAACTGGACTTGTAATGCCCAGGCTGCTGACATTGATAACAAACAACTCCACCCTTGTCAGATCTAACTAGCGTATGAGTGGTAGGAACAGATTGTGTAGATTATTGCCCCTGAAACTGAAATGAACCACCATTGTTCTTCTTCCAAGAAGATCCTTCTGAGGATGACCCTGCACCCCTCTTCTGCTTCCACTGTTCTCTTCTCGCATCCTTATCTCTGTTATCCGCTTCTAACATTAAAGCCCTTTCCACTGCTTTAGAATATACCTTGATGAACTGTACCATGATCAACGGCCTCATCCGATCATTAAGACCAGAAGCAAACTTCCGAGTCTTGTTAACTTCATCTCTCACCATTTCTGGAGCAAAGCGAGAAAGTGAAGTGAACTTGTTTTCATATTCTGCCACTAACATGCTCCCTTAGATAAGGTTATGAAACTAGTCTTGTAACTCCCATCTTTTGGAAAGCGGAAAGTACTTTTCATAAAACAATTCCTTAAACTTGTCCCAACTCATCTCCTCCACCTTGTACCGGTTCGTAACTGACTTCCACCACAGTTTGGCATCCTTAGCAAATTTATAAGTAGCTAGGATGATCTTCAAATGATCCTCCATCACATCCATAGAAGTCAATTGAGTTTCAACTTGCTCCATGTAGTCATCTGCTATCATTGGATCCGCACCGCCCTCAAACATAACCGGCATCAGCTGAGAAAACCCCTTAATAATCTTGAGACGCTTCTGAGTTGGCGTCTCCTCAACTTGAACTGTAGGTTGTGGTGCCGACTGCGACTGAGCAGCAATTGTTGCCCTCACGACATTTTGCAACAAACGATTCAACTCCAGTGCCACAGAACCTTCACCCACTTTGACGGGTGCTTCAACATTATCCCTCCTTGTGGGGATAACTCACAGGGGAATCAAGTCCCTAAGAAGTGTGTCCTCATCATTTAGCTCCTCCGGATTGGAGCTGGAGTTCTCGCCAATATCACCCCTAGTCGGTCTAGGGCCAACTTCCCCGATTTCCTCACACCGTGACATCATTCTATAAAACAAAGAAAACAATTCAATAACGATAACACTAAAGTCCAACCGTGAACAACCCAACGCAAAACGATACTGTACTAACATTTAGCATGTAATACTATGCAATGAACACATTAATATAGGCATATAAGCACATAAGCACGTAAGCAAGTAAACAATTAAGCATGTTTTTTCACATAACAAAACACTTTTCCAAACAAAGAAATAACAATGCAAATGACTTCCCAGACAACCCTAGGTAAGCCTCTACCCATCGTCCTAATGGTATTCGAACCATCGCTCTGATACCAAATTTGTAACGACCCTAGCTGATGCCAAAATTTAAAAAAAATTCGGCATAACCTCCCCTAAAAATGGGCCTTCAACAACCTATCCCAATACACAAAACACATAATATCATCCAGAATCTCATTGAACGTTCATTATACCTCAACATAGTTCCTCTCATGGTGGAACATCCACACGCCAATTAATCTAAATTATTATAATTACAGTCCCAAAATACATGGTTAAGATTTAAAGTCCCTGTCTTACAACGTTACATGATACAATTGCATGGAAACATATACCATAATTCCATTAGATTCATTTACATCAAACAAAAGATAAGTTCGTTCTTAAGTTATAAGGCCATGAATACTAACTTAGTTACATCCCCACAACTATGAATATACATAAAACGGTCAAAATACAAAATAGAAAACAACCTTCTAACAACTTTCAAGCTTGAGGTGGATTATCGTCCACCGGTTCATTTCCAAGACCTGAAAAAAATAATATAAATAGTAGGGTGAGCATAAAGCTCAATAGGTGACACTTAAGACACAATTCTTGTGTCCTTGTGAATCCAAACAAAGCATAGGCCAACGGGAAATAGGGATCATGCAAAATAGGGAATTAAAACAATATGCACGTCAATTCCAATTATAAACCATGCAGTGCAATGAAATGCAATGCATGCTAATGCCATTCCCCATTTTCATTCACCAAACCATTACTTTCAAATGTTAATACAGCCCTCCCTTTGTTAACTTCGCCGCGACACGAGAGGAGGATTGGCTATCGTCCCTAGACCTTTGGTAACCCCGCAGCGTCATCGAGGGGCCGAACAGCTCAACCACGCTAGGGTGACTCCCTAGTCCCCTCTAGGCTATATTAAGCTCTGACCCGTTGGTAACCCTGCAGCGACCGGGTTTATCAAACTATTTGACAAAACTTTTCTCCCAAAATTTCCCCCATTTTCATTTCAAGACAAATTATCCCATTTCATACATCCCAATGACATGTGCATGGATGTACATATAATCTCAATATTATGATAATGGGAAATTTGGCACAATCTAAATAAACATGTTCTCATTAGTCATTTTCAGCATGTTAACACATAGTGGGCATGATAAAACAACATCTAAACATATTTTACACATGAAACAAGTCATAATCAAGCTCTTGAAAATTCTCTAGACATCATTCATACAATCATGGATACAATTAACTCCCAATTAGACATGTTTGACACAACAAGGAGGTGTAATTCACAATAGAACAAGAAAGGAGTGGATTAAGATGCCCCTACCTCAAAATGAGCAAAATCCCTAGAAATGGGTTCTTAAATTCGAGCTCCCAAAGAGGATCAAAAGCTGGAATTTATGGTATTAGCACGTAGAGCTCGTTGTGCTCGTCGTTTTGTCTCAAACGGCACCTTAATCCGATAAGAGATGAGGGAGAAATCAAGAGATGAAGATTAAACCCAAAAAAGAAAAACAAAAGAAAGTCGAGAGAGAGAGATACAGACAGAAACGGGAGAAGAGAGAATCAGACTACAAAGCTTTCAAAAACGTGGTCTTATGACCACTTAAACATTAGTGGGTCCCATTTTTTTTTTTTTTTCTTTTCTCTTTTTCTTTTTCTTTTTAATTTACAGACATTACATTTCGGGTCGTGACAGAATGGCCATAATGGCCGTTGGCCATTTTAATGACCAAAATAAAAGGGGTGGGTCCCGCAAATAACTTTCCATTTTCCATTTTTATTTATTTTTTATTATTTTTTTATTTATTATTTTTTCTCTCTCTCTCTCTCTCTCTCTCTGGGCTAGCAGCCACTTGCTCTCTTCTTTATTTGATTCACAATATGCGCGCGCGCACATATATATATATCATAAACATTACAAGGTGAGAGCCTCAAACATTGTATTTCTCATTTGAATCTTACTCCATTTAATTTGTTCTGTGGCTTCTCTTGCTGCTCTTATTTTGTTACAATTATTTTTGGATGCTTAAATTATTTGCTTTGTTCATTCTGTATTTGCCATTAGATTGGTTGACAAAATATCAACTTTTGCTTTAATTTAATTTGGTTCTTGAATTCTTTGTATACTATATTATCCTTTTATTCATTCGTAGACAAGGGTTGGGACATGTTGGCACGACCCAGTAGTCGAAGCACTTCAAATTGATTAATCTTGAATTGGTTTCTACAATCATATTAAAACTACTACATAAAAGATACCTTAATATTCTTGTGTTCAATAATATTCCCAGACGTACTACTTCAAATTGATTATCTTGAATTGGTTTCTACAATCCTATTAGCACTTCTACAAAAAAGATACCTTGTTGTATACACTAATTTTCCCACAACTATGCCTACAAAGTAATACTTTATGACATTCCAATTTTCACAAAGCAAGTTGATCAAGAATATGACGAGAGCTAAAGCGGAACAGATCCCACTAATCAGAAATAAACCACTAAAGTTGTCGAGGTTCAGAACGTTTGGATTGTTGTTGGTGCTAGTCACTGAGTCTTGCTGGGCCATAGAAGATGACTCACTATTAAACCATGCCTTCTCCATCTTCACAAGCTTTCCTTCTTCTCTCAGTTTCATAATTGCCCTTGACATTTCACTAACCAACGGTGAACCTTTCTGAAAAACCTATCGCAAGACATCAACATTATTTTATATTTATTAGAGTTTGCATAGACATATGCATAAAGAGAGGAAATGTCCACATTATGCGTGTGTGTGGACGACAATTTGTTAAAGGCTGATACTCACAAAGGCAAATCCGTTGGTGGTAGATTCTGATGCAATCATGGCATAGTCATGGGGATATCTTGCGAAAAACGCCTTCATGTATGGGATCTCATCAACGATAGCATCAACACCACCATTTTTAGTTCCCCTTGACAAAGCATCGGCATATTCCTCAGGTGAATAATATGGTCTAAGTCTAGTGTCTTGAAAATTCAGGTTGCTGACAATATCTAGAGAGCCACGTTGGTATCCTATATAATTGTCTTTTGATGTTAGTTGTATTTGTTGGACGGTCAACAGTGAAGATAAAGTTGCAGTGTAGCTTGATGTTAATATAAGCACAACGAACACCCACACAATCACTATAAGCCTTGACAAATTGCTTGATAACTTTTCTCCTGCAGTGTCAAAAACACCAAAATTTTTGTTCTTAAAACTTTTCTGGAAGGTTAATTTGTTTTGTTCCAATACAATATATACCTTTACCAAAAAAAAAAATTACGAAAGAACTTACTATGAGCAAAAACAAGGGTTGAGAAGGAGAACCAAAAGACTGTTCCAATTTGCTGACCAGCCGAACCTTGAAATTCTTCATTTACAGAATGCTCGATAACCCACACAACAAAGCCGGTTAGGATAAAGAAAGCAGCACTTGTGAGCCATAGATTTGAATCAAGTGGCTTCAAGAAGATCCACATGTTCTTATTGCCAACCCTTGCAACCCTTGCTATTGTTCCAGCACCCAAGTCGGTAAATGGCATTGTAAAGTCGACATATAAAGATCTATTGGCCGTTATTGTAATATCCCCCACCACACCATCATAATTCTAATCCATTCAAAAATGCAACATACATAAAAAAAGACCACTATGCAAATATATATAAATAAGCTAACTAGTATGCTCTGTTGTGTGTGGATATGATGAGGTGATGCGTATGAAAAATGTTTCCCATACTAAATATTTGTGAATCATTCAGTTGTAATATTGTTCTACATTTTGAATTGAATTACCTGAAGATAGACCTGATATACAAGATCGTTGTAGTTTCCTGCCGGTTCCCCATTGGAATCCTCAAATGGAATGAACTCATATGATACATCACTTGGTAATGCATCAATGGCAGCCTTGAATACATCAATGCAGAAACCAGTGGCAGTTGTTGCATTTGTTCCAGGATCATGATGCACCTTTATCAAATCTTCGAACCCTTGCTTCACTGGAACACCAATTCTTAGCTTTTTACTATTCATTGGCATCAACCAACCTTTCGGAGTAGTTGAAGATCCTCCTGGCCAGATAATGGCTTCAAGACCACTAGTACTTGAAGACGTTGGATGCTTTTCACTAACAGTAGGAAACATTTCTCTAGTGATTCCATCAGTCAGTGTCCAAAATCCAACTCTTCTCTCCCCTTTGCCAAATACATTCACTATTTCAAATGCCCTAGAGATTAGTTTCCCGTTCATAAATTGGAACTCACCACTTAAACCCCTAAATCTAATTTGCAGTAATTCATTTAGAATTATTGAGCCACTTTGAGAAGCTCCAATGTTAGCTAAGTCCATCACATTCAATGCAACATTTTGCTTCTTAGTTTGAGAAATCTTATCCGTTACCCTCTCCACTGCCCTTGCTAGTGCCCAAATTGCATCATAGGCCCATAGGCCAAACACATTTAACTCAATCATCTCCATATTGGGTTTTTCCATACGAAATTTCCTTCTCCATCTTACAGTGAAGTTGCTGAGTTGGTACGATGATGGAATATGAGACTTGAATCCCAGAACCCCTTGCATAGACTCAATGAGTACTGAAGAATCCATTGAGTGCAAGAGGTCCATAGTCTTATCAGTAACAATCCAAGCATATCCTTCACTCATCATTCCTAACCTTTTGACATTTAAGAAAAGACGAGACGCTAGAGAAGGTGAAACATGCACAACAAATGTTGTTTGAGGAGTACTACTACTAGTGATATTATGGAGCTCTACAAGGATTTGTTCATCAGTGGCTGACGGAGAAATTGCACTCCTATAAGCAATGCGAATGTTTTTTTCTTGGAACGAATCGGCCAAATTTGATATGATCTCTCCCTCCTCATAAATAAGGATGACATTCGTCCATTGAAATGATTCTACAACGGAAGCAACACCATAAAATTCAAGGGTTTGGTCTTGTAAAAGTTGAACAAGGTATGGATATTCTGTTGGAGGAGTCCTAGAAAAAGAAAGGATAGGAACTTTGGCCTTGTCCCCCAATGCAGCCAAGAGCATCGCTTCAGGTGAGGTTCCTGGACCTATGATTGCTTGCACCTTCATATTCTCCAAAAGATCAAGAGCTGCATTGGGCAAATGAAGCAATTTACTTGATTAGTTAATGTCAATGTAAAAGCCTTCCAATTTCAAGCATGAACATAGACTTCAAGTTCAAAAATATCACTCTGAATTTTTTTTTATTTAAAAAATGATAGGTTTATGAAAAATGATATAAAATTCAAATCTTTTTTTTTTTTTTTTTTTGGCCAAAAGAAAGCCGAGTTGACTCAGGTGACCAAATAGTAGCATTTTCTTTTCTATGCATATGAGGCCATGCATGCCAATAAATAGTGAATGAAAAATGAAGAAGACAATTCAGAACAAAAAAGCTTAAGGTACCAATTCATTAAGATGCGCGTGGAATGAAAAATAGAGACTCACCGGCAGACAAAGCACGTAGGGGTTCTCCCTTGGAATCCCTGATGTGAAGAAGTATCCTTGTTGTGTAGTGTGTGTTAAGAGCATAAAAATCAGATATAGCCATGCTAATGCAGCTATTAACAACCTTCCCAACCAATGATCCCATATCCAGAATTACTCCAACCTGAATTTCCTTCACTACACTGATATTACTACTATGATTTGCGTCGATTTCTGCATTTAATTGATAGAGATGGCTCAACAATATTAGAAGTGAAATGAAGATATAGTTCTTCATCCTCGTCTTTCTGCTAGAGCAAAAATGAGTGCTTAATTATTTATAATATGAATCACTAATACTATTATGTAACTACTAAGAACTAATGAATTGCAAGTCTACCTGAAAATTGTGCCGTGTCTAGCGGTTCAAGTTAGTATAATAGTGTGCCGTGTGAAAAGTATAGTATTGCTGACCGGCCTTCAAAGAAAGATAACTTTGTCTTTGAAGTTTATTTTTTATTTTTTTAAAAAATAAAAATAAAAAAATTGAAACCAAAGACAATCTGAATTGATCTTGTAAAAGATTCACTACACAACAAATACATTAATTTTTTCTAAATAATCTAAGTCTTGCCTTTGTATTTCAACTACTTGAATGAAACACAACAATATGTTAACATGAGAGAGAGAGAGAGAATGAAAAAAAAGACTTGAATGTTCAATGATAGCTCATCGATCAAGAAAGGAAACAAAAACAATTAAAGAAGTATACATATATATAAACTAAAATTAAAAATGAAACGAGAAAAAGTCTTATATTATAAGTAGAAAAAGGAGAGTGCAGAGGAAGCAAGGACAAATAATCATATTAATTTAATGCTGCAATTGACTCTGGATATGGACATTTATCTGATCACTTGCAAAGTCACCAATGTCGACAATTCTACATTCACCTATTCTTGTTATGAAATAAAGAATTTGAAATAAAGAATCTCTTGTGACAGGGAAATAATAGTAATTATTATAAAAAATAAAGAATCTCTTTGACTTTGGTTGCTGGAAATAATTAGTACGGCATGAGAAAAGTCAATGCTAAAAAGTTTTTTAATAATTTTTCCTTAAACAACTTAGACACATGAATTATATTGTAAGTTCGTTTGAGGACTAGTTCAATATTTAAGGAGATCGTGTTCGTAATAGTATCAAGAAATCAAATGACAGGATGGTGTAGTTCAAGACATTTAAGCCTTTTATTATTATTATTTGACTCAATAGGTGCAAGTTCTAATGAAAATACTGTGAAATTTTTTATGTAGTGTTGAATCTATTGAATTGATTTGTCTTGTCATTGTTGTCAACAAAATGTAAAGTATTTATCTAAATTATTATTTTTCATCAAGCCTAACTATAAAGAACAAGTCCATACTTGCACTAATCTGTCTGAGAAACTATTACATGGTCAATCAAATGACAGTAATAATTTCTTCCTCTAGATCTCTCAGCAAATCACCCAATGGATTGACTGGTAGCCGTTGCAACGGCTATCTAGCACATCTTCCATTTGAACAAACATATGGGCTGATCTCCATTATATTGGGCTTGTCTTCTGGACTTCCTTCTATTGTAATACTTCATTACATTTATACCATCCTATAGCACTATTGGGCTTGTTGAGCCCAAGTCTCAATATTCCACCAATGTACATTTTACACGTCAATATACACTTATTTCACCATCCATGGGAAAAAATCAATAAAAATGTTTAAGGAGAAGCTAAAATACACCTTTAATTTCATAAAGCTAAAATACTGTTGCAGTTGATGCTTGTAATTTATGTGAGCTTTCATGACGCAAATTGCTACATGAATTATGAAAGTCATATATATATATATATATATATATATATATATACACATATATATTTCTTTCTTTTAAACAAAGAAACAACCTATTCCCTTCATATGATTCATAATTACTTGCTTCAAGATTTTACTACTTCTTGTGACAACAAGGTGAAGTAAGTTATTAACCCAAGCAATGAAAAAAAAAAAAAAGTGATTTGTGTCATAAAAAAAGGAATTATAAATTTTAACATTTTGTTGTATGTAGTTAAGGTTGTAACCCGAGCAAGAGGTATCACTCAAGCTCAACTTGACATATGAAATGATTAATTTTAACCTGATTATTCAATATAAGCTTAACCCATCTTTAAAATTTTAAACTCAAGTTGAGACTTAGGATTAGAAAGTCCCGTTATTTTGAGTTATGCTAATCTCCACAGTTGAAAATTTTGAATGATTTTATAAGTTAGTTTTAGTTTAGATTACTCTTAGGCACAATTCTTTTTTAAAAAGGCGCAAATCCTCTGAAGTTATTTTCCATGCGGTCCCTATGGTGCGCTGATGAGAGGCCTTGGTTTGGCCACGTCTAATTCTATTTATAATATGTGAGTCCAAAGCTTCACTTTCTCATCAAAAAAATGGGTTATTACTGGCCCCAGAAATAGATAAGGTTTTAATATCTCTGTAGCGAATTTAACTTACAATAACTTAGAAAATATTTAACATAGAGGATCCAAGTCGGTCAATTTTAGCTTTCTCTGACTTTCCACTCTTGCTGCTTGGTCCTCAAGGCTCGATTACTATATCGACGACTCAAACCCTGTTTACGTAATTCAACCCAAAATTCTGCCCACTAGGTGTGCTTCAATAGAGAGGTGACTAAGTTTCTGAATTAGAGGAGTTTTGCTTGATACAAACAAATTCTTAAAAGTTTAATTCTCTAAAATGTAGATCCTAGTGGCCAGATATACTAATAAATTGAGATTTAAATTAAGGAAGTAATCATAATTTAAGTATTATATACAATATATTTAAAATAAAAAAATATGTATAAAATAATATTAAAAATTGAGTTGGAGTTGGGTTCACTGGCACATCAATCCATAACCTAATCCTGATTATGTTGGAATTGAAAATATTCAATCCTAGTAAACCGTAATTGTAAAAAAAATTAGTTATCCAAGCCTGTAAAAGACCGAACCTGACTGGAATTGGGTTTGATTGGGCTACCCAAATTGCAGTCTTCAATGAATATGGTGAGTTGGTGGTTGACGGTGAGAAAGAATCCTCTGAGCGCGAACGAGCACGGGAAGGCGGCCTTATTGCATTGAGAGATTACATAATAGGTGAGTGAGCCTTATTTTGCTTCTACTTTATTGTTTTTTTTTTTTTTCATTTTAATTTCTTTGTTTGATTTCAACTTAAAACTTGGTGGCTCTTGTTTTGTTGAATTATTTGCTTTATTATTTTGTATTTGCCCTTAATTGGTTGACAAAAATATACACTTTTGCGTTAATTAAGTTGGTTTTTGAACTCTTTGTAAATTACTGGCCTTTAATTCATTCGTTAACAAGGGTTGGCCCCAACATTTGGGAAATTAGAATGTGTTTTAGCCCAATAGTGATATCTAAAGTTGCATTACTGGGGTGGTAAGCAAAAGAACAATAGTAATAGTTGAAGCATTTCGAATTTGATTATCTGGAATTGGTTTCTACAATCATATTACGACTTCTACATAAAACATACCTTACCGTATGCACTAATTTTCCCCCAACTATGCCTACAAAATAATACTTTATGACATTCCATTTTTCACAAAGCAAATTGATTAAGAATATGACAAGAGCTAAAGCTGAACCGATCCCATTAATCAGAAATAAACCACTAAAATTGTCGAGGTTCAGAGCGTTGGGATTATTGCTGGGGCTACTCAAAGAGTCCTGTTGGGACATAAAAGATGATTCACTATTAAACCATGCCTTCTCCATCATCATAAGCTTTCCTTCTATTCTCAGTTTCATAATTGCCCTTGAAATTTCAGGAACCAATGGTGAACCTTTCAGGAAAACCTGTCATAAGAAATCAACCATAGTATATTAATTATAGTTCGCATAGACAGATAAATAAAGAGAGGAAATGTCCACATTATGCACAAGGTCTGTATATTATTTCTATTTATATGCCTGCATATGTGATGACATTGTTGTTCTTTTATGTTCATGTGTCTCTGTGCAAAACCAATTTGTTTAAGAATGATACTCACAAAGCCAAAGCCATTGGTCTTTGATTCTGATGCGATCATGGCATAATCTTGGGAATATCTTGCAAGGAAGATCTTGACGTATGGGATCTCATCAATGATAGCGAGAACACCACCATATTTAGTCCCCCTTGATAAAGCATCTGCATATTCCTTAGGCGAAGAATATTGCATAAGGTTAGTGTCTTCAAAATTCAGGTTGCTGACAATATCTCCTTTTATGAGAGAGCCACTTTGGTATCCTATGTAATTCTCTTTTGATGTTAGCAGTATCTGTTGGACCGTCAGCATTGAAGATAAAGTTACAGTGTAACTTGAAGTCAATATAAGCACAACGAACACCCAAACAATTACTGTAAATCTTGACAAATTACTTAATAACTTTTCTCCTGCAATGTCAAACACCAAAATTTTGGTTCTTAATTTAATTTAATTTAATTTTTAATTTTTTTTTTCTGGAAGGTTATTTTGTTTTGTTTCAATGCAATATGCTTTTACCAATTAAAAAAATTACAAAAGAACTTACTATGAGCAAAAACAAGGGTTGAGAAGGAAAACCAGAAGACCGTTCCAATTTGCTGAGAAGCTGAACCTTGGAATTCTTCATTTATTGGATGTTCAATAACCCAAACAACAAAGTCGGTTAGGATAAAGAAAGCAGCACTTGTCAGCCATAGATTTGAATCAAGTGGCTTCAAGAAGATCCACATGTTCTTATTGTCAACCCTTGCTATTGTTCCAACAGCCAAGTCGGTATATGGCATTGTAAAGTCAACATATAGAGATCTATTGGCCGTTATTGCAGTATCCCCCACGACAGCATCATAATTCTGAACCATTCAAAAATGCAACATACATTAAAAAAACCACTATGCAGATATATATAAATAAGCTAGCATTCATGTCTAGTTGCATGTTTTGTGTCATGTGTATATGAGGGAATGTGTGTGGGAAATGTGAAAAATGTTTCCCGTACTAAATATTTGTGAATCTCTTAGTCGTGATATTGTTCTACATTTTGAATTGACGTACCTGAAGATAGACTTGATATACAAGATCATTATAGTTTCTTGCCGACTCCCCATTGGAATCCTCAAATGGAATAAACTCATATGATTCAGTATTTAGTAAGCCATCAATGGCAGCATTGAATACATCAATGGAGAAACCAATGGCAGTTGTTGCATTTGTTTGAGGATCACGCTGCACCTTTATCAACTCTTCGAACCCTTGATTCACTGGTATACCAATTCTTAGCTTTCTACATTTCATTTGCATCAACCAACCTTTTGGAGTAGTTGTAGATCCTCCCGGCCAGATAATGGTTTCAAGACCTATATTAGTACTTGAAGACCTCGGATATTTTTCACTAATAGATGGATTCATTTCTTTAGTGATTCCATCAGCCAGTGTCCAAAATCCAACTATTCTCTCCCCATTGCCTAATACATTGACTAGTTCAAATACCCTAGAGATTAGTTTCCCGTTCATAAATTGGAACTCACCACTTAAACCCCTAAATTTAATTTGCAATAACTCGTTTAGAATTATTGAGCCACTTTGAGAAGCTCCAATGTTAGCTAAGTCTGTTATGTTCAATGCTAGCTGCATTTTGTTCCTTGGTTTGAGAAATCTTATCTGCTACCTTCTCCACTGCCCTTGTTAGGGCCCAAATTGCATCATATGCCCATATGCCAAACACATTTAACTCCATCATTTCCTTATTGGGGTTTTCCATATGCATTTTCCTTCTCCATCTTACAGTGAAGTTGTGGAGCTCGTTTGATGGTGGAATATAAGACTTGAAACCTAGTGCGCCTTGTATTGACTCAATAAGTACAGAAGAATCCATTGAATGCAAGAGGTCCATAGTCTTGTCAGTTATAATCCAAGCATATCCCTTACTTATCATTCCTAACCTTTTGACGTTTAAGAAAAAACGAGACACTAGAGAAGGTGAAACATGCACAACAAATATTGTTGTTTGGAGAGTACTACTCGTGAGATTATGGAGCTCTACGAGGATTTGTTCATCAGTGGCTGAGAGAGAAATGGCACTCTTATGAGCAATATGAATGTTTTTCTCTTGGAATGAATCGGCCAAATTTGATATGATTTCTCCCTGCTCATAAATAAGGATGACGTTCGTCCGTTGAAATGATTCTACAATGGAAGCAACACCATCAAATTCAAGGATTTGGTCTTGTGTAAGTTGAACAGGGTATGGATATTCTGTTGACAACATAGGACTCCCAGAAAGATAAAGGATAGGAACTTTGGCCTTGTCCCCCAGTGCAGCCAAGAAATTCGCTTCAGGTGATGTTCCTAGGCCTATAATTGCTTGCACCTTCTTGTTCTCCAAAAGATCAAGACCTACATTGGGCAAGGGAAACAATTTACTAGATTATTTAATGTCATGGTAAAATCCCAAAATTTCAAGCATGAACTTTGGCTTCTAATTTCAAACATATCAGTCTGGAAAGAAAATGATAGGTTTATGAAAATGATAAAGAATTCAAATGAGTTTTCTTTTTTCTTTTTTTTTTCTTTCCTTGGCAAAAGGAGCCAAATCCACTTAGGGGACCAAACAGTAGCCTTTTCTTTTATATGGATATGAGGCTATGCATGCCAATAAATAATGAATGAAAGATGAAAAAGTCAATTCAGGAAAAAAAAAAACAAACAAACAAAACTCTCAAGGATTCATGAAGAATGTAAAGCGAAAACTCACCAACAGATAGAGCACGCAGAGGTTCTCCCCCCGAATCCTTTATGTGAGGAACTATCCTTGTTTTGTAGTGTTTGTTTAGAGTATAAAAATCAGATATTGCCATAATAATGCAGCTATGAACAACCTTCCAACCAATGATCCCATATCCAGAATTACTCCAACCTGAATTTCCTTCATTACACCCATACTACTACTTTTATTTGTGCTCGGTACTTCTGCGTTTAGTTGATAGAGATAGCTCAACAATATTATAAGTGAAATGAAGATATGGTTCTTCATCCTGTCTCTCTGCCAGAGGAAATGGGTGCTTAATGTATATATACATATATATAGGTATAGGTATAGGTTGGTTGAATATGAACCATTGAACCTAACAATTACAAACTACTTATGTAAGAACTACAAGTCTACCTGAAAATATATGTCTAGCTGTGTCTAGCGCGTTCAAGTTAGTATCCAGTGAGGAAAGTAGAATTGTTAACCGGCCTTTAAAGAAAGACAACTTCAACTCTCTCTCTCTCTCTTTTTTTTTTTTTTTAATCACTTGCAAGTTTAATGATAGCTCATCAAGAAAGGAACAACTTGAAGAATTTCAAATATAGCAACTAAAATTAATTGTGAAACAAGAAAATTAAAGTTTTTGTTAGGAATTATGTCTCAAATTCCCATTATTATTAGTTTCTATTTTAGAGTGTAATTTTATGGTAATTTCTTATAGAGACGTGAATTGGGCTTTAAGAAATTGTAATCCTTGTCCACAAAGGAATTGGGTATGTAACTCTATAAATAGACACTTAGACTATTGTTGAGAGTTATGAGTTCAGAGAGATGTAGCCTCATGAAGGAGTACGTGGATGGTAGGGGTGAGTTACGGATTTGGTAGAGTGAACACTGATGGTGAGAGGGAGTCTCGTGGCGTACACGGAAAACTCGGTCAAGAGTTTGTGTGCATGGTCCAGTGTTGAAATTCTCTACTATTGTAATATCTCTACATATATAATAATTCTCTTTTCATCCGTAGATGTAACCCTGATTTTGGGTGAACCACGTGTATATCTTGTGTTGTGGTTTGAATTATTGTTTTATTTCTTTCTTTTGCTTCCGCTGTGCCCCAACAACTGGAATCAGAGCCAAAGGTGAAGGAGATTCAGAAAACATAAGAAGTCTCAACATGTGCTACAACGGGCTTCAGTTGTAGGTAGAGTCAATCGGCTTGATTACATGGCATAGAGCTTGAGCAGTCAAGGTGGAGCCTTGGGGTTTGACTGATTGAGCAACGTATAGTGAGGGGATAATCCGAGTTTTACAATAAGATCGCGAAGATTGAAGTTGCAGAGAATTATCCAGATTCAATTGCCATAAGAAACGATGATTGACGTAATGGAATTTGAGCCAAGGCAGAGATTGTTAGGAATTATGTCTCAAATTCCCATTATTATTAGTTTCTATTTTAGAGTGTAATTTTATGGTAATTTCTTATAAAGACGTGAATTGGGCTCTAAGAAATTGTAATCCTTGTCCACAAAGAAATTGGGTATGTGACTCTATAAATAGACACTTAGGCTATTGTTGAGAGTTATGAGTTGAGAGAGATGTAGCCTCATGAGGGAGTACGTTGATGGTAGGGGTGAGTTACAGGTTTGGTAGAGTGAACACTGATGGTGAGAGGGAGTCTCGTGGCATACACGAAAAACTCGGTCAAGAGTTTGTGTGCATGGTCCAGTGTTGAAATTATCTACTATTGTAATATCTCTACATATATAATAAATCTCTTCTCATCCGTGGATGTAACCCTGATTTTGGATGAATCACGTATATATCTTGTGTTGTGGTTTGAATTATTGTTTTCTTTCTTTCTTTTGCTTCCGCTGTGCCCCAACAACTGGTATTAGAGCCAAAGGTGAAGGAGATTCAGAAAACACAAGAAGTCTCAACATGTGCTACAGCGGGCTTCAGTTGTAGGTGGAGTCAATCGGCTTGATTACCTGGCATGGAGCTTGAGAAGTCAAGGTGGAGCCTTGGGGTTTGACTAATTGAGCAATGTATAGTGAGGGGATAATCCGAGTTCTACAATAAGATCGTGAAGATTGAAGTTGCAGAGAATTGTCCAGATTTAATTGCCATAAGAAGCGATGATTAACGTAATGGAATTTGAGCCAAGGTGGAGATTGTTAGGAATTATGCCTCAAATTCCCATTATTATTAGTTTCTATTTTAGAGTATAATTTTATGGTAATTTCTTATAGAGACGTGAATTGGGCTCTAAGAAATTGTAATCCTTGTCCACAAAGAAATTGGGTATGTGACTCTATAAATAGACACTTAGGCTATTGTTGAGAGTTATGAGTTGAGAGAGATGTAGCCTCATGAGGGAGTACGTTGATGGTAGGGGTGAGTTACGGGTTTGGTAGAGTTAACACTGACGGTGAGAGGGAGTCTCGTGGCATACACGGAAAACTCGGTCAAGAATTTGTGTGCATAGTCCAGTGTTGAAATTCTTTACTATTGTAATATCTCTACATATATAATAAATTTCTTCTCATCTGTGGATGTAACCCTAATTTTGGGTGAACCACGTATATATCTTATGTTGTGGTTTGAATTATTTTTTCTTTTTTTCTTTCTTTTGCTTCCGCTGTGTCCCAACAGTTTCATCATCACAATACTAGGAGTAGTTACAAAAGAAAAAGAAAAAAGAAGCTATACTATTGATTTACCAATTTATTGATGTGTTTTTTCGTCCAACATTCAGTACTCTTGACCACATGGTTAAGATTGACTATTATAATTTTCAACAATTGCAAAATCAACCAATGACTATTTTACATTGAATTATTTTGGTTGTGGACAAAGTCATTGTGGAAGAAAACGTCTCTTAAACGTCTGATAATGCTTTTCTTTTTTCATATTTACGTTTATTATATGCACACACACATATAAATTGCTGTGTATTTCTGTTAAAAACGGCATGCAAACGAATAACTGAAGTTGACATTCGTCCATTGAAATGATTCCACAACGGAAGCAACACCATAAAATTCAAGGGTTTGGTCTTGTGTAAGTTGAACAAGGTATGAATATTCTGTTGGCGACGGAGTCCTAGAAAAAGAAAGGATAGGAACTTTGGCCTTGTCCCCCAATGCAGCCAAGAGCATCGCTTCAGGTGAGGTTCCTGGACCTATGATTGCTTGCACCTTCATATTCTCCAAAAGATCAAGAACTGCATTGGGCAAATGAAGCAATTTACTTGATTAGTTAATGTCAATGTAAAAGCCTTCCAATTTCAAGCATGAACATAGACTTCAAGTTCAAAAATATCACTCTGAATTTTTTTTTATTTAAAAAATGATAGGTTTATGAAAAATGATATAAAATTCAAATCTTTTTTTTTTTTTTTTTTTTGGCCAAAAGAAAGCCGAGTTGACTCAGGTGACCAAATAGTAGCATTTTCTTTTCTATGCATATGAGGCCATGCATGCCAATAAATAGTGAATGAAAAATGAAGAAGACAATTCAGAACAAAAAAGCTTAAGGTACCAATTCATTAAGATGCGCGTGGAATGAAAAATAGAGACTCACCGGCAGACAAAGCACGTAGGGGTTCTCCCTTGGAATCCCTGATGTGAAGAAGTATCCTTGTTGTGTAGTGTGTGTTAAGAGCATAAAAATCAGATATAGCCATGCTAATGCAGCTATTAACAACCTTCCCAACCAATGATCCCATATCCAGAATTACTCCAACCTGAATTTCCTTCACTACACTGATATTACTACTATGATTTGCGTCGATTTCTGCATTTAATTAATAGAGATGGCTCAACAATATTAGAAGTGAAATGAAGATATAGTTCTTCATCCTCGTCTTTCTGCTAGAGCAAAAATGAGTGCTTAATTATTTATAATGTGAATCACTAATACTATTATGTAACTACTAAGAACTAATGAACTGCAAGTCTACCTGAAAAACCCTTCTGCCGTGTCTAGCGGTTCAAGTTAATATAATAGTGTGCCGTGTGAAAAGTATAGTATTGTTGACCGGCCTTCAAAGAAAGAGAACTTTGTCTCTGAAGTTTACTTTTCTTTCCTTTTCTTTTTTTTTTTTTTTTTTAATTTAAAAATTGAAACCAAAGACAATCTCAATTGATATTGTAAAAGATCCACTACACAACAAATACATTAATTTTAACTAAATAATCTAAGTCTTGCCTTTGTATTTCAACAACTTGAATGAAACACAACAATATGTTAACATGAGAGAGAGAGAGAGAGAATGAAAAAAAAATAAAAAAGACTTGAATGTTCAATGATAGCTCATCGATCAAGAAAGGAAACAAAAACAATTAAAGAAGTATACATATATATAAACTAAAATTAAAAGTGAAACGAGAAAAAGTCTTATATTATAAGTAGAAAAAGGAGAGTGCAGAGGAAGCAGGGACAAATAGTCATCTGCATATAATGATGCAATTGACTCTGGATATGGACATTTATCTGATCACTTGCAAAGTCATCAATGTCGACTATTCGACATTCCACTATTCTTGTTCCGAAATAAAGACTTTGAAATAAAGAATCTCTTGTGACAGAAAAATAATAATAATTATTATAAAAAATAAGAATCTCTTCGACTTTGGTTGCTGGAAATAATTAGTACGGCATGAGAAAAGTCAACGTTAAAAAGTTTTTTAATAATTTTTCCTTAAACAACTTAGACACATGAATTATAATGTAAGTTCGTTTAAGGACTAGTTCAATATCTAAGGAGATCGAGTTCGTGATAGTATTCGAAAAGCAAATGACGTGTAGGATGGTGTAGTTCAACACCTTCAGAGATTATTATTATTATTATTTGACTCAATAGGTGCAAGTTGTAATGAGAATATTCATGTCGACTATTCTACATTCAGCTATTCTTGTTATGAAATAAAGACCTTGAAATAAAGAATCTCTTGTGACTGGGAAATAATAATAATTATTATAAAAAATAAAGAATCTCTTTGACTTTGGTTACTGAAAATAATTAGTACGGCATGAGAAAAGTCAATGCTAAAAAGTTTTTCAATAATTTTCCCTCAAACAACTTAGACACATGAATTATAGTGTAAGTTCGTTTACAGGATGGTGTAATTCAACACCTTTAGAGATTATTATTATTATTTGAGTCAATAGGTGCAAGTTGTAATGAAAATATTCATGTCGACTATTCTACATTCAACTATTCTTGTTATGAAATAAAGACCTTGAAATAAAGAATCTCTTGTGACAGGGAAATAATAATAATTATTATAAAAAATAAAGAATCTAAAATTCACGTCGCTGTCCAACTAAGCCGACTGGGTTGCCAACTCAGTCGGCTGAGTTCCCAACTCAGTCGGCTGAGTTCATGCTGACTCGTCTTCTTCGTCTGTTCTCCGTCTGTTCAGTCTCTGTAAACCCTAAAACTTCATTGTTAAGGCCTTTAAGCTTCAACCTAAGTCCCATACGTCAATTCTAAGTTATTTTAGGTGTTTTTTTCCTCAATAGGTGCAAGTTGTAATGAAAATATTGTGAAATACTCTATTTCTTATGTAATGTTAAATTGATTTGTCATGTCAACAAAATGTAAAGTATTTATCTAAATTATTATTATTTTTCATCAAGCCTAAGTATAAAGAACAACTCCGTGCACTAATCTGTCTGACAAACTATTCCATGGTCAGATTCTCTACGACAATTACAAACCGTAACGCAATCAAATGACCAGTAATAATTTCTCCCTCCCCTTGTCTCTGAAAATCACCCAATGGACTGACTGGTAGCCACTGCAACGGCTATCTAGCCTACCTTCCATTTGAACAAATATATGGGCTGAGCATGATTATACCGGTCTTGTCATCTGGACTTCACTCAATTGTAATACTTCATTGCATTTATACCATCCTATAGCACTATTGGGCTTATGGAGACCAAGTCTCAATATTCCGCCAATGTACATTTTACACGTCAATGTACACTTATTTCACCATCCAGGGGGAAAAAAAATCAATAAAATGTATAAGGAGAAGCTAAAATACACCTTTTAATTTCATAAAGCTAAAATACAGTTGCAGTTGATGCTTGTAATTTATGTGAGCTTTCATGACTCAAATTGCAACATGAATTATGAAAGTCATATTTTTATTTATTTATTTATTTATTTTTCTGTTAAACAAAGAATCAACCTATTCCCTTCATATGATTCATAATTACTTGCTTCAAGATTTTACTACTTCTTGTGACAACAAGGTGAAGTAAGTAAATAGCCCAAGCAATGAAAAAAAATTGTGATTTGTGTCATAAAAAAGGAATTATAAATTTTAATATTTTGTTGTATCTAGTTAAAGTTGCAACTCTAGCAAGAGGTATAATTCAGGCTCAACTTGACATCTGAAATGAAATGACCAATTCTAACCTGACTTGTAACGTACTAAACCGGAGGTCCGGATCGCTAACAGGGTCCTTACCCGAACCCGATGACATGCTAGGGGTAAAATGGTTTTTTTATAATATGAAAGGATAATCCATCGTAAAACTAGTCAAATGAGGTTTCACAGTCACCAAATATGAATTCCCAAAAATGCCCTTACCGGTTCAAAGCAAATTCTGACACTGTTTCACTAAAACAATCATAACTCTCAACATAAGTGGAATATGAAGATAGGGTTGGTCTCGTTGGAAAACTAACTCAAAATCCTTGAAAATGGGCTTAAGAATGACCTCATTTGGGCTTGAAACGAAGAAGTTGTGACCGTCCGAAATTAAGTGATCCAAACTGATAATGTAATGACCCTAAGCTGAATACCGAAAATAAAAAAATTTTAAAAAAATTTCGGCATGACCTCCGCTAAAAATGGTCTTATAACAACCTGTTCAACCTATCCAACCTGCCCCAACACACAATACAAAAGAAATATAATGCATTCCCCAATACCACAACATCAACAACCTTCCCAAATTAGCCCATCATCGTCATCCCCTTCAACTTAAGCATTTACATGGTCTCAGTTTACAACAAAAATAATCAAGTATCTTAGTTATGTTACAGGGCTATAATTTGCAAAAAAAAAAAAAAAAAAAAAAAAAAAAAAAAAAAAAAAAAAAAAAAATTACTCTTTTACATAGTTTGAGACAATACAAAAAAAAATGGACCAAGATACAAAAGATAACAAAATACAATTCCTAATCTTCTCAAGCTTGCGGGGGATTGTCATCCACTACTTCTTTTTCAAGCCCTGAAAAATGTTAAATAATAGGGGTGAGCAAAATTGCTCAGTAGGTAGTGCCTAATGCACACCTCTTGAGACCTCCGTGAATCCACACAATGAATAGGAATAAGGAAATTGGGATCATACCATACCGGGAGTAAAAGTATAACTACGATACCACATCATTAATCCAATACCACAAATAAATATGCCATGCACTGAAATGTCGTGCCATGCAATGTCACTTCCCATTTTCCCCAAACCATTTCTAAACCGTTAGTGAACCCATCCCATGGCAACTCCATGGCGGCACAAGAGGAGGATTGGCCACTGTCCCTGACCCATGGCAACTCCATGGCGTCATTTGGGGCCCAGGTAACTCAACCACAGTAGGACGATCTCCCTAATCCCTTCTAGGCCTCACTAACGCAGCGGTCCCTAGGCAACTCCTAGGCGGCCGGGTTTTTCACAAAATTCTTTTCAATTTTTTTTTTCCCAAAAATATATATGTATATATATAAATTTATTTATTTATTTGTCAAATTCATGTTCCCATCTCTTTCCCAATGAAGTACATAGATGCTTCATGCCTTTTTAGTCATAGCAACATTTATCATCACACGCCAATTTTAAGATTTAATTACTTAGCATGCTTCACAAGAAGTTTAAAAAAAAAATAACATACTTCCTTCAACAAAATTCTAGCATGGTAAACAAGTAAGACATGGAATTAAATTCATATAAGCATATATTTCATGTAACACCAATTAAAACACATAAACACATATCTCATTATAACAATATGATCATTTCAAGGAAAAACTAACACAATTTAACATGCTTGACAACAAATCAAATAAAGTGAATTAGAAACAAAAAAAAAAGTGAATTAGGAACCCCTATCTCTATTTTATGCAAAACCCCCAATTTTCACCTCAAACCCTCAAAATGGGTCACAATTTTCGGACTCCCTAGAATAGCCAAAAGCTGAAATTGTTGGTATGGATTTGAAGATCTCGTCGTGGGCTTCAATTTGCCGCAAACGGCATCCAAAATTTTCAAGAGATGAGTAAGAAATCAAGGATTGAAGTTGCAAAAGAAAAAAAAAGAAAAGGAAAATACAGAGGCAGCGAGAGAGAGGAAACAAACTGGCCGAGAGAGAGCTGAGTGAAAATAAAATGGGTCTGTAATGACCCTTATATTACAGGTGGGTCCCACAGTGAAAAAGTAATGTTTAATAATAATAATAATATTATTATTATTATTATATATATATATATATATATATATATATATATATTGATAAACATTACAGATAAGCTAACAAGGAGGATGTGCATACTTGAGGTCTTGAATACAATGAAATGTCCCAACCAACACTCGGACACAACTGGCACACCCCACGGTGTCCGACACGCAAAACGAGAAAAGACGAAAATACTCTCGAAAAATAAAAAATAAAAATTTAGAAAATGAAAAATGGTAAAATTTGAAAACATTACATTCTACCCTCCTTAAAAGATTTCATCCTCGAAATCTACCCTCCTTAAAGAAAGAGACCCACAGCCATACACTTTCCGAGAATACCTCACAAAATCACGAGACTAAGAACTCAACAACCTTATTGTGATACCCCTCAATTCTAGAGCCACGGGTGATTAAGTCCGAGCACAAATCTGAGGGATACCAAACAATTAATATGTAAATAAGCACTGAATACAAAAATGAAATAAGAATAAAAAAATATGCTGAAAGAATTCTAAATTAAAAATTCTCAAAATATTATTATTAAAATCCAATAATCCAAAACCTCCATTAATTTAACAACTCGGGAATCCATCTTGTGGACCCCTAATAAAAACTCAAACTAAAAAGGAAACAACTGAAACAAAACATAAAGCTAAACATTGAAAGCAGTCCTACGTAGTCGGAGGAGTGAGTGACTGTATCTGCTCTACATGATCAAGCGCTAACCCTGGAACTGACTAGCACCTGAAAAATAAGAGTGGGTCAGGCCCACATGCAAGTTCTATCCTACTACAATTCATACAGAAACCTGATACGTAGATACATCCTAGATAGCTCAACAATAACTAGAATAGTCCATATATATATAATTACACATTATAAGATGCTCACTAGCCCAATAGGTCTGTCTCAGCCTGAGTAGAGATACCATGCGAATCGCACAAAACGTGGTTATGTGTACCTAGACTTATCAGGGAACAACAACTATGTCCAGTTATCCATCCTAGGTGATATACGCACCCTAACCATGATCTTAAGACTCAAGCTCATATCATGGCACCATACTCATAAGTATATAAAGTCCGTATAAGCCTAATACAAAATATCATCCATCTGACGTAGTGGCCTGACATATGTACAACAATGCATCCAGAAACCAAAATATGTCATTCAATTAATTATTGACTTGACATCAATATGAGTAGGACTTAACCTTTATGGTTAATCCATACATCAATCCAAAATAGGTAGGACTTAGTATTTGAACTAATCCACCACTAGTATGTCATCGTCCCATATCGGTGCATACCAAAACACAAGTTCGTATAATTGACAAAACAGGAATAAGTAACTCATCAATCATACTCCAAAATAAGCATAAATAAAGTCTAACCTGTGTATGACCCAAGTATGCATCCAATATAAGATTTAAGAATCTGATTCCAGTCTTTTACATTGATAAAGTAAGACTAAGCATTTAAGTCCTCCAAACAGTACCATAATTGATGCAATATACATTATATTTAGACATCGATTAATCCAATCTAAGCATTCTTATTTTCCAGATAAACAACCATATGCTTATACACCGCTGAAACATGATTAACAGTTTTACATCATGCAGAGAAACAAAATTGCTAAATATTAGTACACAATTTAAATTAATTTTCCAACCTTCTACATGCAAGATTACTATTTAACCTTATGTTATTTCATTTTTCAACATCTTACTGTAAACATGCTTCTCAGTGATTTTTATATCTTTGTAACAATTATATACACCAACCATAGCAACTAAAACAACTTAGAAAGCCCCCTACTGGACAAACCAAACTCAGAACCACGGAAAACCAAAAAAAAATAGAAGAGGGAGCCACCTCCCTAAACAAAGGGTGGAGCCGGATCCATACTTATGAGAGCTGGCTCTCTCATCCCTAGAGCTTGCTCTTTCCTTTGGAGAGCCGTCTTTTAATTCCGGTTGTCTTCTTCGCCTTCGGCGACATGCAGAATCCTCTGTACTATTTTATTAAGACTTCTAAGGTCCAATTTATGTCCTAGAATTAATTATTAACTGGTATCATACATTATCGACATGAATTGAAACAAGTTTAAAATCAACGAACATAAAATTTAATTATGAACATCAATCAACCATAATACAGATTTATTCCATGCAGTTAAATACAATTCAAACATGCTCATAAGATATATTTTAACCTTAATTAAACACTGGAGTCTACCTAGGCATGCACAGAACACAGAACACAAATTTAAGAGAAAGAGTTAAAATATAACTTGCCTGTGAGATTTTTGAATTAAAATCTCTATGCCGTCTTCCTAGATTTTTCGGCGATCCTTCACTGTTCTAACTCCTCTGTTTCCTCCTTAGTTCAACACACAAACAACGCCCTTTTAATCCTTCCTTGGTTTAGCCTTAGTCCCAGCTAAACCCTAGTTTTTCTCTCTCAGTTTCACTCTACCTCCAGTACGTGAATAGGGTTCTAAAAACCCTTGGTAGACCTACTGTTATATTTATAGGCTTAAGAAAAATACTAACCCTAATTCTAATTTAATTTAGAGATGGAAAAGAACAATTCATTCTATATCTAATTCGGCTATATAAAACGTGACTACCTAAAAGAAAGCAAAACCCAAATTAAACAATTAAAACAATTTCCAACAACTGGTCCGTATTTAACAATTAAGGAAAGCAACAAATATAAATTACCATGTAAGCATAACATCAATTACACAAATAATTCAATTCAATAAAACAATTAAGCAAAGAATTAACTACAAATAAAAACAAATAACCAAATAATTCAATAAAATAAAACAATTAAACAGTTAGGCAATTAACCAATTAAAAATACAATAAAATAATGAATTAAAATGTCAAGACTATCCTTTTAAATTAGGGGTATTACACTTATTGCCTTTGACACCAGACGCCAATAGGCAATCACACATTGTCGTCAATGCTCACCACCCTATGAGGGTACTCGTCACTCACAACATCATACACAAAACCCGTTGGATTCTATACTTGACTTAAAACCAACACTAGTCCCCTCTACACCGCTACACAAGGTTTGGGAGCCAAAAAAAGAACGGTCACAAGACCCTTGAACATGACAACATCCTATCTCAATTCATCCTTCAAAGGGCACACAAGACCCCAAACGAGGAACCCCGTTCATCTCATAATCAAGCTCAAACTCAACTTTACATGTCTTTGTCAGACCAAGCACTCGTTATTCACTGCATAGCTACACCACCGCACTATACGACAATCACCATACTAACCGGGTCCTTACCCGAACCCGAGGACATACTAGGGGTAAAATGGTCTTTTTACAATATAAAAGAATAATCCATCCTAAAACTAGTCAAATGAGGTTTAAAACAACTATTCTAGTAGTTCCATGATGATCGGTGAGGTTCCACGGTCACCGGATATGAATTCCCAAAAATGCTCTTACCGGTTTAAAGTAAATTCTGACACTGTTTCACTAAAACAACCATAACTCTCAACATGAGTGCAATATGAAGATGGGGTTGGTCTCGTTGGAAAGCTAACTCAAAATTTTTGAAAATGGGCTCAAGAATAACCTCATTTGGGTATGGAACGAAGAAGTTATGACCATTTGAAATTAAGTGATCCAAACTGATAAGCTAACAAGGAGGATGTGCATACTGGAGGTCTTGAACACATTGAAATGTCCCAACCAACACTCGGACACAACCAGCACATGTGTCCAGCACGCAAAATGAGAAAAGACAAAAATACCCTCAAAAAATAAAAATAAAAATTCCAGAAGATAAAAATAGGTAAAATTTGAAAACATTACATGACTACTCAAACTGAGCTTAACCCACATTTGAATTTTTAAACTCAATTTGAGATTCAGTATTAGAAAGTCCCGTTATTTCGAGTTATACATATCACCAATCTCCACAATTGAAATTTTGAATGATTTTATTAGTTAGTTTTAGTTTAGATTACTCCTAGGCACAAATTTTTTAAAAAAAGACTTGATGCAATTTTTTACAAAATTACAAACAAATTCTTAAAGGTTTAATTCTCTAAAATGTAGATCCTACTGGCTAGATATACTAATAATCAAATTCGAAATGCGAACATTAATAGTTGAAACATTTCAAAATTGATTATCTTGAATTGGTTTCTACAATCATATTACAACTTTTACAATAAAAGATGTCGTATTGTATGCACTAATTTTCCCTGAACTATGCCTACAAAGTAATACTTTATGACAATCCTTTTTTCGCAAAGCAAATTGATCAAGAATATGGCAAGAGCTAAAGTTGAATAGATCCCACTAATCAGAAACAAACCGCGAAAGTTGTCAAGGTTCAGAATGTTTGGATTGTTGCTGGGGCTAGTCACTAAGTCCTGCTGGGACATAAAAGATGACTCACTATTAAACCATGCCTTCTCCATCTTCACAAGCTTTCCTTCTTCTCTCAGTTTCATAATTGCCCTTGAAATTTCGGGAACCAATGGTGAACCTTTCCGGAAAACCTGTCATAAGAAATCAACCATAGCATATTAATTAGAGTTCGCATAGACCTATAAGTAAAGAGAGGAAATGTCTACATTATGCACTAGGTCTGTATATATCTTTTATATGCCTGCATATGTGATGACATTGTTGTTCTCTTATGTTCATATGTCTCTGTGCAAAACCAATCTGTTTAAGAATGTTACTCACAAAGCCAAAGCCATTGGTCTTAGATACTGATGCAATCATGGCATAGCCTTGGGAATATCTTGCAAGGAAGATCTTGATGTATGGGATCTCATCAATGATAGCGACAACACCACCATTTTTAGTCCCCCTTGATAAAGCATCTGTATATTCCTCAGGCGAAGAATATTGCATAAGCTTAGTGTCTTGAAAATTCAGGTTGCTGACAATATCTCCTTTTACGAGAGAGCCACTTTGGTATCCTATATAATTCTCTTTTGATGTTAGTTGTATTTGCTAGACCGTCAGCATTGAAGATAAAGTTGCAGTGTAGCTTGCAGCCAATAAAAGCACAATGAACACCCAAACAATTACTGTAAACCTTGACAAATTATTCAATAACTTTTCTCCTGCAATGTCAAACACCAAAATTTTTGTTCTTAAATTTTTTTTTCTGGAAGGTTAGTTTATCTTGTTTCAATACAATATACTTTTACCAATAATAAAAAAAATTACAAAAGAACTTACTATGAGTGAAAACAAGGGTTGAGAAGGAGAACCAGAAGATCATTTCCATTTGCTGAGCTGCAGAACCTTGGAATTCTTCATTTACTGGATGTTCAATAACCCAAACAACAAAGCCGGTTAGGAGAAAGAAAACAGCACTTGTCAGCCATAGATTTGAATCAAGTGGCTTCAAGAAGATCCACATATTCTTATTGTCAACCCTTGCTATTGTTCCAACACCCAAGTCGGTATATGGCATTGTAAAGTCAACATATAGAGATCTATTAGCCGTTATTGTAGTATCCCCCATGACAACATCATAATTCTGAACCATTCAAAAATGTGACATACATCAAAAAGACCACTATGCAAATATATATAAATAAGCCAGTATTCAAGTCTAGCTGCATGTTTTGTGTCGTGTGTATATGAGGGCATCCGTGTGGGAAATGTGAAAAATGTTTCCCGTACTAAATATTTGTGAATCTCCCAGTTTGTGATATTGTTCTACATTTTGAATTGACATACCTGAAGATAGACCTGATATATAAGATTGTTATAGTTTCCCGCCGGCTCCCCATTGGAATCCTCAAATGGAATAAACTCATATGATTCAGTACTTAGTAAGCCATCAATGGCAGCAATGAATACATCAATGCAGAAACCGATGGCAGTTGTAGCATTTGTTTGAGGATCACGCTGCACCTTTATCAACTCTTTGAACCCTTGATTCACTGGTACTCCAATTCTTAGCTTTTTACCATTCATTCGCATCAACCAACCTTTTGGAGTAGTTGTAGATCCTCCCAGCCAGATAATGGTTTCAAGACCTGTATTAGTACTTGAAGACCTCAGATATTTTTCATTAACATATGGATTCATTTCTTTAGTGATTCCATCAGTCAGTGTCCAAAATCCAACTCTTCTCTCCCTTTTGCCTAATACATTCACTATTTCAAATGCCCTAGAGATTAGTTTCCCGTACATAAATTGGAACTCACCACTTAAACCCCTAAATTTAATTTGCAATAACTCGTTTAGAATTATTGAGCCACTTTGAGAAGCTCCAATGTTAGCTAAGTCTGTCATGTTCAATGCTGCACTTTGTTCCTTGGTTTGAGAAATCTTATCTGCTACCTTCTCCACTGCCCTTGCTAGGGCCCAAATTGCATCATATGCCCATATGCCAAACACATTTAACTCCATCATTTCCATATTGGGGTTTTCCATACGCATTTTCCTTCTCCATCTTATTGTGAAGTTGTGGAGCTTGCTTAATGGTGGAATATAAGACTTGAAACCTAGTGCGCCTTGTATTGACTCAATGAGTACAGAAGAATCCATTGAATGCAAGAGGTCCATAGCCTTGTCAGTTATAATCCAAGCATATCCCTCACTCATCATTCCTAACCTTTTGACGTTTAAGAAAAGGCGAGACACTAGAGAAGGTGAAACATGCACAACAAATATTGTTGTTTGGAGAGTACTACTCGTGAGATGATGGAGCTCTACAAGGATTTCTTCATCAGTGGCTGAGGGAGAAATGGCACTCTTATAATCAATACGAATGTTTTTCTCTTGGAATGAATCGGCCAAATTTGATATGATTTCTCCCTCCTCATAAATAAGGATGACGTTCGTCCATTGAAATGATTATACTATGGAAGCAACACCATCAAAGTCAAGGGTTTGGTCTTGTGTAAGTTGAACAAGGTATGGATATTCCGTTGACGACGTAGGACTCCAAGTAAAAGAAAGGATAGGAACTTTGGCCTTGTCCCCCAGTGTAGCCAAGAAATTCGCTTCAGGTGATGTTCCTGGGCCTATGATTGCTTGCACCTTGTCATTCTCCAAAAGATCAAGAACTGCATTGGGCACGGGAAGCAATTTATTATTTAATGTCATGGTAAAAGCCCCCAATTTCAAGCATGAACTTTGGCTTCTAAGTTCAAACATATCAGTCTGGAAAGAAAATGATAGGTTTATGAAAATGATATACAATTCAAATAAGTTTTTTTCTTTTCTTCCCTTGGCAAAGGAGCCAAATCAACTTAGGGGACCAAATAGTAGCCTTTTCTTTTATATGCATATGAGGCCATGCATGCCAATATATAGTGATTGAAAAATGAAAAAGACAATTCAGAAAAGCTTAAGTAAGGTGCCGATTCATCAAGATGCATGTGGAATGAAAAATAAAGACTCACCGGCAGACAGAGCACGCAGGGGTTCTCTCTTGGAAATCCCTGATGTGAAGAAGTATCCTTGTTGTGTAGTGTGTGTTAAGAGCATAAAAATCAGATATTGTCATGCTAATGCAGCTATTAACAACCTTCCCAACCAATGATCCCATATCCAGAATTACTCCAACCTGAATTTCCTTCACTATACCGATATTACTACTATGATTTGTGTCCAGTTCTGCATTTAATTGATAGAGAACAACAATTGCTGATGGGTCTCAGACTGAAATCCGTCCCTACTTCTTCCAAGTGATATGAAGATATGGTTCTTCATCCTGCCTCACTGCCGGAGGAAATGGGTGCTTAATTATTTAGTTAGCATCTCATCTTAACCTCTTGTTGCTCTTAAATATATATATATATAAGTATAGGTTGGTTGAATATGAACCTCTAACAATTACAAACTATTTCTCTAAGAACTAATGAACTAAAAGTCTACAAGTCTACCTGAAAATATATGTCCAGCCGTGTCTAGCGCATTCAAGTTAGTATCCGGTGAGGAAATTAGAATTGTTGACTGGCCTTTAAAGAAAGACTTCTTCAACTCTCTTTTTCTTTCCTTCTTTTTTTTTAAAAAAAAAAAAAAAATTATTATTATTGTTACGTTTTATTTTTAATCACTTGTGAGTTTAATAGCTCATCAAGAAAGGAACAACTTGAAGAATTACAAATATAGCAACTAAAATTAAGTTTGAAACGAGAGAATTAAAGTTTCACCATCACAATACCAGGAGTAGGAAAAAAAGAAGCAGCAGCTATACTGGGCATTATTGATTTACCAATTTATTGATGGTTTTTTGTCCAACATTCAGTACTCTTGACCACATGGTTAGGATTGACTATTATAATTTTCAACATTTACAGAATCAACCAATGACTATTTTACATTGAATTATTTTGGTTGTGGACAAAGTCATTGTGGAAGAAAAAGTCTCTTAAACATCTGATAATGCTTTACTTTTTTTATATTTATGTTTATAACTTTATTATATGCACACACATATAAATTGCCGTGTCTTTATGTTAAAAACGGCACGCAAACGAATAGGACCCTTCCTTATTGTCACGCCCCGCCTATGGAGGTTGTACCACGCAGGTGACACGCAGACGCTAAGGAGGACGCTGCATGGCAACTGCATGGCAAGTGGAGTTTCTAAAGTCTTCCGGAGTAGTCTAGAGTTGTGTGGAAGATTCTAGATATGTGTAGTATATTCTAGAAGTGTGTGGAAGGTTCTAGAATTCTCCAGAATTGTGTGGAGTAGTATGGAGGGTTCTAGAATGTTGTAGATATGTATGGAGATGTGTAGAAGGTGGAAGAAGATTCTAGATAATCAATCTCCACCGTTGGTTAGAATGCATCCTAGCCATCCATTAGGGATGGGGATGCCTATAAATAGGAGTAGGACTTCATTTTGCAAACAACAAGTCCTAGAGTGAGTCTTGAGAGCCTTGTAGAGAGCTTGAGTGTTAGCCTTGTACAAAGCATTCTTTGAAGTAATAGAAGTGTTCTTTCCTTGCCAACTTAAGTGCCTTAGTGTGTGTGAGTGTGCAAGCCAAGTGAGGAGAGGGCAAAGGCAACTACAACACTAGTAAGCGCACGAGGGGAGTGTGTTGGCTAAGGTGTGCACGGGAGTTAGGCTGACCAAGTACTTGCGAGAGTGAAAGCAACGTCTTGGTGCCGCACGGGAGCAGCTAGAGTGGTGCTGAAACTCTAAGCCCGTGACAGTTGGTATCAGAGCAGGTTCGTCAAGGGAGCTTTGTTGGAGTAGACATGGCTAGCGGAGGAGACCACCAAGTCCACATCTTAGAGCAGAGCTTGGAGGAGAAGCTTGCCACACACTTGGTCTACACGGAGACCAAATTTAATAGGCTCGAGAGAAGGATGGCGGAGCTCTACGAGCTGATTGATGGCATCGCCAACAAGGCGCAAGAGAAAGAAAGGGACTTGCATGGTTTGGTAGACGACTTGCGCGTGGAGATTGCCGAGTGCAAGAAGGAGTTCTCCCAGGCGCGCGAGGTCGTGGTGAAGCCAAGGAAGAAGAAGGCGCCGGAGCCCAAGGAGTACGATGGGGCAAGGAATGCGCGCCAGATTGACAACTTCTTTTGGCACATGGAGCGGTACTTCGAGTGCATGGAGATCGAGGATGATGAGGAGAAGGTGCAGACAGGCACTATGTACCTCACAGACACCGCCGCTCTATGGTGGAGGCAGCGCTTCACTGGTAGAGGCGCAAGAGCAGTTGACACATGGGAGGAGTTCAAGAGGCAGCTCAAGAGGCAGTTCTACCCTGGGTGCGTTGAGGACCTGGCCATGATCAACCTAAGGCGCTTGAAGCAGAAGGGCAGCATAAGGGAGTATGTGAAGGAGTACTCCAATTTGATGCTGGAGATCCCAGAGATGCCGGAGCGGCATCGCGTGTGCTTGTTCATAGATGGGCTGCAGTCTTGGGTGGCCACGGAGCTAAGGAGGAGGGAGCCTAGAGACTTGGCATCCGCAATGGCTATAGCGGAGCGCCTCGAAAACTTTAGGCGCGATGACAAGAGGGCCACGTCTCCCAGGAGGGACCACGGCAAAGGTGGGGGAGACCGACGCTTCAAGAAACGGGGCTCGCCCAAGTCTAGTGATGATGAGCACAGCGATGAGGAGAGACGCCCACGCCATGATAAGGGCAAGGACCATGGAGAGAGGTCCAAGGCTAGTGGCAAATGGGAGCGCCGCGATAAGGGCAAGTGGGAGCCGAAGTGCTACTTGTGCGAAGGGCCGCACATATTGCGACACTGCCCCAACAAGAAGACCATGAGCGCCCTTGTGAAGGATAAGGGCAAGGGCAAGGTGGATGATACGGGCAGCGACGAAGACAGGTGCATGGGGGCTATGCAGATGCTGAGTAGCATGGCGCATGACACCAAGAAAAAGGGTAAGGCGAAGAAAGTAGCTGGGGTGCGCTATGTGGATGCGCAGGTTGGTGGCAAAGCCGTACAAGCGTTGGTGGACACGGGCGCCACACACAACTTCATTACCCCAGAGGAGGCGCAACGACTTGGCTTGGAGATGCGCAAGACGGAGGGATGGATCAAGGCCGTCAACTCCGAGGAGGCACGCGTGAGTAGAGTGTGCAAAGAGGTGGAGCTATGCTTGCAAGGATGGAAGGGCAAGGCCGACTTCCAAGTTGCGGAGATGGACGACCATGACATGGTGCTGGGGCTGGAGTTCATGGACAGGAACAACGCCGCGCCACTACCATGCCTTGGTGCGTTGATGATACTTGGAGGCGAGGAAGGCAAGGCCGCATGCATGGTGCCGCTCGTGGGCAGGAAGGAGAGTCCAGAGGTGGCAGTCAACACGATGGAGCTCGTGAGGACTTCACATCTCCCGAAGGGCGCTCGTACGTTTGGGCCAAGGACATATGCGCAAGTGCTGATGACCTGCGAGAGGCTGGGTCAGTTGAAGAAACCGTGACGAGGGCGTCACGGAAATGGGTGGGGGAGAATGTCACGCCCCGCCTATGGAGGTTGTACCACGCAGGTGACACGCAGACACTAAGGAGGACGCTGCATGGCAACTGCATGGCAAGTGGAGTTTCTAGAGTCTTCCGGAGTAGTCTAGAGTTGTGTGGAAGATTCTAGATATGTGTAGTATATTCTAGAAGTGTGTGGAAGGTTCTAGAATTCTCCAGAATTGTGTGGAGTAGTATGGAGGGTTCTAGAATGTTGTAGATATGTATGGAGATGTGTAGAAGGTGGAAGAAGATTCTAGATAATCAATATCCACCGTTGGTTAGAATGCATCCTAGCCATCCATTAGGGATGGGGATGCCTATAAATAGGAGTAGGACTTCATTTTGCAAACAACAAGTCCTAGAGTGAGTCTTGAGAGCCTTGTAGAGAGTTTGAGTGTTAGCCTTGTACAAAGCATTCTTTGAAGTAATAGAAGTGTTCTTTCCTTGCCAACTTAAGTGCCTTAGTGTGTGTGAGTGTGTAAGCCAAGTGAGGAGAGGGCAAGGGCAACTACAACACTAGTAAGCGCACGAGGGGAGTGTGTTGGCTAAGGTGTGCACGGGAGTTAGGCTGACCAAGTACTTGCGAGAGTGAAAGCAACGTCTTGGTGCCGCACGGGAGCAGCTAGAGTGGTGCTGAAACTCTAAGCCCGTGACATTATGC